CGGGGGTGCTGTCACTGTCTTGGCTCCGCTGGGTGTTGGGACCCCGCAGGGGGCGGGGCCTGCCCGGCGCTCCCGGGCTCGCTGGGTCGGGCTGTTTTTGGTCACCGCCCCGGGGCTTGCGCTGTGCACGTCGCTGAGAAGTCGGGCTCTCGTGTCGGGGTCGGGTCCAGGGGCCCGTCAGCCTCCGGCTGTGTTACTCTGCGGGCCGTGGTGCAGTGCTGCACGCTCAGGCTCCCCTTGTCCCTGTCTCAGAGGTCTGCGCCTTTGGCACACCCGTGTGTGGGTCAAACCAGGGTGGGGTTGATTTAAATCAAATTGATTTTAAATCATGATTTAAGTCATTGGTCAGGATGGAAGCCTCAATTTGATCATTGTTTTCTACAAAAAGTGCGTTCCTGCTTGATAGCTTTTATTCATGTGACTTCTTGAAACTGCACGTTTAGAGAAAGGTAAGGGCTTGACTGTGCCTACACAAGCTTGCAGAGAGGCAAGAGGGCTGATGGGGGCGTGGAGGGTGTCAACGGGTCTGTTTTATCTATGTATACTGCTGTAAACAAGGATGCTGTCTCTGGAGACAAACTCTCCCTATGCTTGAACAAGGGTGTTTGTACCCAAAAGCTTGCAGAGAACGAATTTTTTCCAACTATTTAGTTGGTCTAATAGAAGATATCACATCTACCCAAAGAACCTCGTCTGCCTATGATCTCTGGAGACACAAATCCATGATTTGAGAACTGAAACAGCATTTAATGGGATCTCCTAGACTGAGCACTGAGTCCCATTGGGTAGAGTGGTTTATTTACTAATCTTTACTAATCTATAAAGGAGCCTCTGGGAACCTCATAAGATTGGGCCCATAATATAGTCCATGGCCTGTTATGACCTATTTATATAACTTCTAAAAAGTTTACATGAGTATATTTCTCAAATAGTATATCATTGGAAGTTATAATCACTATTCCATGATGATATCTTTGAGCTTTAACATATCTTAAATTAAAACTATCTTTATATAGAGTTTATATTTTTTTAAAAAGCATCTTAAAAATACAATTACATAAAATCTGATTTTTGATTTAGAAAAACCATACATTTTTATCTATCCTTGGTCAGAGTCATCTATCCTGGTGAGCTGGTTGAGGGTCGGGCCAGATTAGGACCACATACTGCTGCCCAGCACTCAGGGCTGGGCTGGTGGGATGCCATGTGCAGGGCATGTCCTGGGCTGGCTCCCTGCACTGTGTGTGGCATGCACCTCATGGCAGGACTGCCCCATGCAGTGCACCCTGTACTTCATTGAACTGGCCCTGTGCACTGGCTCTGGTGTGCATGGGTGGCCTGGGGCCCCATTTGGACCAGCCGCAGAGCCACTAGGCAGGGCTGCTTTGGCACAGATGTCGCATGCAATGTGCACCCAAAGAGACCTCCCTCTTCCTCCTCTCCCCACCCCAACCCATGATCAGCCCATGTGCCAGACCTGCCACATGAGGCCTGCTAGTTCAGTCCAGATGTGGCCCGCAGGGCATGTGTTGGTCCCCCCTGACCTATATGCCTGGTTTTATGGTGTATATTGTCAGCCAAACTAAAATAAATTGCAAACCAAAAACCCCAAAACAATGTTAATGCTAAGACATTTCAAAACAAAACAGCATAAATACTTTCAATTACTAGATTTTTGTTTTGTTTTGTTTTGTAGTTTGATTCAGCCAAAACTACTTATAATTTCAGCTGGAACTTGACCTTCAGTCACTCATATTAGGAAAGTGCCTCAGTGGGCTGTTGACTATTCTGAGGTGAGTTTCAATCTTTGATTGGGGCCTATGTCACTTTTCCTATTAATAAATATTCATAGTGTTGGAGAGAGACTGACTGTTATTTTAGTAGTTGTGGGAGTGAGAAATGAGGGATAAAGTCTATTCTCAAGCAGGCATCTAAACCTGGGTCTGTCCTCCTTCTTCAAGGAGTACTGTGATGTGTAGGATAGTGGGTGTTCTGATGAAATTCTCTTTCTTTTTTTCCATAGACAGGACTTAGGTCCCTAGGAGAGTGTTCCTGGCTAAGGATCTTTAAGCAGAGGGAGGTGCTTGTTGTGCTATAGACAAGGGGTGTTCAACCCCCAGCCCACTGGCCCAGTCCAACCCACAGAGTCTTATCATCTAGTCCACAGGTCCCCCTACAGGTCCAGAAATTTTGTGGCAGGGGAGTGGTGGCAGCATTACTTGCCATTCTTCTGTTGCCAAATTTCTAGATCTGTAGGGAGTCCCATGGGCTGGGTAACATGACTGTATGTGGGATTGGAGTGGCACATGACCAGAATAGATCCAGCATAAGATCAGGCCAGCAGACCAATTTCATGTGAGATCCAGTCTGCAGACTGATGCTTGTGCTGCCCATCCAGCTTGGAGGGCCAGAAGGTTGGGTGCCACTGCTACAGACCAGTGATTCTCAACCTTTTTAAGACTCAAGGCCCCCCTCCATAACTTTTTTGTGAATTAAGCAGCACCTCATTTCAAAAACTAATTTATTCATTACAGAAGAGCTGTCAAACCTCTGAGTAGCTGAGGGCCATATTCTGTATGGGCTGCATGCAGTACATACCACATGATGCTCCGTGAAGCAAGTCACCCTCCACCCTTTACCTACACATACCCCCTGTGCAGTGGATGCCTCCCTTGCTGTATCATGCCTGTGTCCCATGCACCACATTGTGCCAGAAAGATTCCCCTGTGTCATGCTATGCAGGCCCCCGAGTCTGCCCAAGCCACCTGGATGCAGGCTGCCTTGGCCCTGCTTGCAGGGTGGAGAAGGAAGCAGAACCCAGAGATTTCAGTAGCAGCAGCAACTGAAGCAGTGGAGGGAGCACTGCCGGGACCAGGAGCCTGGAGGCCACAAGTTAACCCTTTGGGGTCTTATGTGAGCTGCCAGTTGAACAGTGCTATATTATAGTATTTGTCTCCTTGCAGAGGGTCCAAGGAGAAGCCTGAGTCTGCCCTTATGTGGAAGAAGGGGGTAGCCCCCAAAAGGGAACCAGAGAGTAGGGGCCCCCAGAAATTACCCTTCTGATACCTGTGTGAAGCATCATAGCCCAGTAAGGGCTGGAGGGTTCTCCTGTGTCCTTACAAGGATGGCGGTAGCAGCTGAACAGCAGGAAAAGCAGGAGCCCTGACTTGTAAGCTCCTGCTATCTCTGTATTGGATGACACCTGGGGTCCGACTATATAACCAGATGTCTAGCACAGGTGGTAGGGAGAGAGAATGGTGGGAAGACAGTGCAGGCTGCTGCACCGCTGGGCAAGTAAAGCAGATGCTGATGAAGGGAGAGCCTCCGTGGCCTGGGAGTTCAGAGGAACACCCAGCAGCAGGCACCTGAGCCCCTGGAGAAGTGATGGGGAAAGCAAGCCCTGGGATGCTCTCACCAAGGCGGGTAGAGAAAGGGAAGGCTTATTGTTCCTGACTGGGGCATGGCGAAGCTAGCAGACAGTAATTCATTGGGTCAGAAGAACGGGGAGTGGCTGATTACCTAGAAAGAATCGTGTTGTGCAGTTCGCATCTTTTAGAAAGCAGGAACTTTCTTATGCGAGCAGACCTAGCCCTTAATGAATTAAGAGTACTTTGATCAGTTAAATTAATTGGACTAATTGATTTCTTTAATGATCAATGAATGGCGGACATTTTCTTCATTTAATTAATTATGGTTATTCGATTGCCTAGTGAAATTAATTGGATGGACTGATTTCCTTAGTGATCAAGGAATTGTGGACATTTTTTTATCTCATCGGTTATTATTATTTGATGGATTAACAACATGGGTGGATTGATTTTCTTAAGGATTAATGAATGACAGGCATTTTTGGTATTCACTAATTATCGTTTATTTATGATCAACCAATTAGGCAGAAACTTAGGTAGACTTACCATTGATCTGAGTTGATACCATTCTCTCCAAAATCATATTAACAACATCCAGCAAACTAACATTGGGGTGGCACCACTTTGTGGGAAGGAAGTTAGATGACGTCATAATACTTGGTTGGCATGTGGAAGAGGTGTAAGGGGAGGCAAAGCCCCGCATAGTGTCCTTGCATGTGATCACCATAAATTCCAATGGTCGACCAGAAACCCTCCCAGCAGTATCCAAAGTCAAGGTGTGGCAGGCAAAGAGAGGCTCAGTTTCAGTAAGTGGGACATGTTGAGGGTCAAACTGTCCATCATAAGAGTCGGCATTTCAGGAGCCTGCGCTCTCGTTTATTGTGACACAGTCATACCTGCAACGCTGCTCACATCTTATTTGCTTATCTCCTCACACTTCCTGTGTCAACCTTTGGAAGATCCCCCAGTGTCCTAGAATGGTGTAGCACCCTAGCTGATAAATACTGGTATAGATAAGCACCTACCTCTATCCAAGCACACCAGGCATCTCCCTGTTTGGCTGGTTTCTGAGGGTCCCTAGTTTCCCTAAGTGTTGGATGGGCAACC